TCATCAACTAGGACAGAAACACAATATTAGTATAATGGGAGCATGATGTGACCTTCCTAGTGCTGTCTGTGGACTTTAGATGCTCTTTATAAACAGAAACGATTGGATTCTAAATTTTTTATACCCCAGTTAAACTCTCAAGTCATTTGCAGTGTTTTATGGGTTCAATTCAATTTCTAAAAATGTTTTGTCAACTTTTCTGGTATACTTCTTTAAAGGCTTAAATTCATATGTATTGCACCTTGTAATTAGAGGTTAGTAGTGAATAAACTCTATGATTAACAGTCAAATGTATTTAGCTAGCGGCAAGACAATCATGCCCTCATTGAAAAGTTTGTCACATAATTGCTCTTTTTGTTTCTTTTTTTTTTTTTTGTTTTATTATGTGTGAATTTGTCTTTTCTCCTCTTCCATTCCCATTCGAATATAAAAATTTTAATGGACTTCTTTTCATGTTTAAGTCTATATTGGTTGTTTTTTTAACTTACGGAAATTACAGGATAAATTTAGTAAGAACAATAGTTTCATAAGACAATTTTTAATTTGTAATAGAAAGGTGAGTGTCACATTGAATTACTACAGCACATACTTTGCCTGAACTTTGCATTGTTGCAAATACATTAACCAACCAAAGGATATCATGGTTATTTTGGGGGTGTTTTCAGAAAAAAAAATAACGGAGTACTTTTTATCAATTGACATAGTTGTGAGATCAAAAGAAAAAAGCAATTTCAAAACATGTTTCAAAATTTTCAAAAGCATTTTCTTCAGAGAATTAATTTCTTTTAGGCCCCATTTGGGATTACGGTGCTTTTAGTAAAAAAGCACTTTTGAGTGTTAAAAGTATTTTTGAGATGGTTGGTGAGCACCATTCTATAAAATTAGAAGTAAAACTTTTGGTATTAAAAGTACTTTTAGCAAAATCTCAAATTCGATGCTTTTAGAATAGCTTTTGTATTTAAAAAAATAAAATATTAAATTTAATCATTTTATCCTATATTACGAACTAAATAAAGAGATAAATACATTTAAAAAAATTTTAAATTATACATTACCCAATGTAATAAGTACTTATTGAACTATGTATCCAAACAATATACTTAAAAGTATTTAAACACTGGATAAGTGCTTTTTATTGAAAACCCTATTGATGAAGTATTTTTCAATAAGTTATGCATCTCCAAATGGTCCTAAATATGAAACACAATAGTTACTCAGCACATTGTTGTCAAATTTATTTAGTAGGTGGCTGCCCAAATTGGTTTCCCTCTTGGCAAACCACCCTCTTCTACTTTGTAATTTGTTTTTCTTTTTTTTTTTTAAGGAAACCACCCTAACTCATCTTTTCACTGACAATTGGCGGGAAAATACCGGTTTTCATCCTCAAACTTTGGGCACAAGACACATTTCGTCCCTCATCTTTCGGGCATGACACATTTGGTGTCTGAATTAACAATTTTTGACCAAATGTCATCCTCAGACGGCAATTTAGCCAACCTTTAATGGACCGTTAAGTAAATGTGGCTATCTGAAGCAAAATCAGGTGAAAAATGACGTTGTCTTCACTTTCCCTTTTTCTTTCACTTCAACAACTTCCTCTGCAAATTTCCAAGACTAAGCTCCTACTGCAAATTTCTCTGAGAGTAAACCCCCTCTTCCAATTATAAATATATAATTATAATTATATAATACATATAAATATTACTTATACTAATATTTTATATAATTATAATGTATATTAGATATTAAATCTAATCATTATATAAACTTATATTCATAATAATAAATATAATTATAATTATCTAATTTATTAATATTATATACACATATATATTATAAGGGATAATTTCAGAAACCTCCCCTCAATTAGCTTATGGAAAAATGGGAAAATGGATAATTTATGGAGAAAAGCCATAAAGAGCTGGTGTTTTATTGGAGAATTGGTTTATTTTTATTTTATCCGATAAATAAATTTGTTTATGAAAAAATGGATACTTTATTCTTATAATAGAGGAAAGCCATAAAGAGCTGAAGTTTTATTGGAAAACGAGTTTATTTTTATTTTATTCGATAAATAAATTTATTTATGGAAAAATGGGTACTTTGTTCTTATAATAGAGGAAAACCCTAAAGAGCTAGTCTTTTATGGAAAAGTGATACTTTATAGAAAGTGACCGCGATTTGGTTTATGAAATTATCCAAAAAAAAATAGAATGAATTTGTTTATTTAATTAAATAATTATTATATATATATTTATATAATGCATAATATAATTATACTAATATTATTATAAAATATATAATTATAACTATATTATATATATAAATATTAATTATACTAATATATTATATGATTATAAAGTATATTATATATTAGCTATAATTTTTAGTATATATTAGTATATTTATAATAATAAATATAATTATAATTATATAATATATTATTACTATATACACATATATATTATACATATATGCACATATAATATACATTTATAAATATATATATAAATATATTATAGTTATTACCCTAAATATATTAGAGTTATTAGGGTATAGTTATTATAGTTATTATAGTTATTACCCTAAATATATTATAGTTATTAGGGTATATACCCTAATAATATATTTATATATATTTATAAATGTATATTATATGTGCATATATTTTAATATATATGTGTATATAGTAATAATATGTTATATAATTATATTTATATTTATTATGATAAATATACTAATATATACTAAAAATTATAATTAATATATAATATACTTTATACTCATAAAATATATTAGTATAATTATATAATGCATTATATAAATATATATAATAATAATTTAATTAAATAAACAAATTCATTCTAAATTGTTTTTTTGGATAATTTCATAAACCAAATCGCGGTCACTTTCTCTAAAGTATCGCTTTCCCATAAAAGACTAGCTCTTTAGGGCTTTCCTCCATTATAAGAACAGAGTACCCATTTTTTCATAAATAAATTTATTTATCGAATAAAATAAAAATAAACTCGTTTTTCAATAAAACTTCAACTCTTTATGGCTTTCCTCTATTATAAGAACAGAGTACCCATTTTTTCATAAACAAATTTATTTATCGGATAAAATAAAAATAAACCAGTTCTCCAATAAAACACCAACTAAACACCAACTCTTTATGGCTTTTCTCCATAAATTATCCATTTTCCCATTTTTCCATAAGCTAATTTAGGGGAGGTTTATGAAATTATCCCTTATAATATATATGTGTATATAATATCAATAAATTATATAATTATAATTGTAATTATTATTATGAATATAAGGTTATATAATGATTAAATTTAATATCTAATATACATTATAATTATATAAAATATTAGTATAAGTAATATTTATATGTATTATATAATTATAATTATATATTTATAATTGGAAGAGGGGGTTTACTCTCGGAGAAATTTGCAGTAGGAGCTTAGTCTTGGAAATTTGCAGAGGAAGTGAAGACAATGTCATTTTCGACCTAATTTTGTTTCGGTTAGCCACATTTACTTAACGGTCCGTTAAAGGTTGGTTAAATTGCCGTCCGAGGATGACATTTGGTCAAAAATTGTTAATTCAGACACCAAATGTGTCATGCCCAAAAGATGAGGGACGAAATGTGTCTTGTGCCCAAAGTTTGGGGATGAAAATCGGTATTTTCCCGACAATTGGCTGCCAAACCTTTCATTTACGCTAAATAATTTTCATTCTTTATAGACAAAAAAAAAATTAATTTTTTTAATTTATATTGCTTTTAGTGGACTATGCATTCGTAACAGTCAGTTGTATTGACATTACCAAACTTTTCCTATCTCAGATTCGTATGTTTGAGTTTAAATAAAGATTTATTAGTGAAATCGTTATTTAAGAAGTTCAAAAACTCAAAATATGACACCCTATGCTTGGAAATTTTCCGGTATTAGGATCTTTTGAAATATTGTAATACGGCAATGGCATAAAGAGCCAGGCACTTGAAGCTAAATGGAATTGTCAAAATCATGAAAAAAGCATATAAAAATCTGGGTGATGGATACCTTTATGTCATGCCAAGGATACACAAAACTAAGATAAACCAAAATACCCCACAAGGCAACAAAAATACTAATGATAGCAAAATTTTTAGCCAACAAATGATAACAAAAAAATACTAATTTTTAATAGTTGGGTTAACTATATTTAACTCCTTCAAGGTTTGGCCGTATTGCATATCACACCCTGCGGTTTGACCATATAAGAAATACCTTATCAATGATCTCCATTAACTCTGACTGACGGAACTGGTGAAAAGTTCGAACTTGCCACGTTATAGAATGATCTAATAGTGAATAATTTAATAATTCTAACGTCCATAACATTCAATGGCGAATCGATAAATGTTTATTCAAGGTGTATAATTGTAAACCACTAGAATCGGTTCAATAGTTAGAAGAGGGCTCTTAGATTCTTCCTCGTTATCAGGTTAATTCAAATCTTATACTTAATAATTGAGGGTGAAAAGAATGTGGAAAAGGGTGAGAGCATAATTGTAGTAAGGTCAAACCATAAGAAATGATTTGTAATATTGCCAAATCTCGAGAAAGGTAAATTTACTTGATGCTTAAAATTTTCCATAGCTTATTTTGAAAATGAAATAACCATTTCCATGGTATCTATAGAGAGGCTGTGGTAATAATTTCAATCCGTGGGATTCAATAATCATAATTTGAAAAACATTTTCTTTACTTTCAAAGACAATTTATCTTTGTAATACACGAACAAAATTAAAAAAAAAAAAACTGCAGTCAAAAAGTGCTGTAAGCTTACATCACTTATAATTCCTCTCTCACACACACACACACACACATATATATATATATATGCATACGTATATCAGACATACGTACATATACATATATACGTGTGTGCTTGTGTTTGTGTGTGTATATATGCATGTGTTAACATACTCATAATGCAAGGGGGACATGGGCTGTCATTGGAGAGAAATGAGGAGTTTTGGGCTGCATTTGCTGACCGGCAGATGGTTCACTCTGTTCGCTTCACTCCTGATCATGTCCGTCAATGGCGGTGCTTATTTATTCGGTGTCTACTCCAATGACATCAAGTCCACATTAGGCTATGATCAAACAACCCTTAATTTGGTCAGTTTTTACAAGGATTTGGGAGGCAACCTCGGAATCATATCAGGGCTGATTAATGAAGTTTGTCCCCCATGGGTCGTTTTGGCCATTGGCGCTGTTATGAACTTCTTTGGTTACTTCATGATCTGGCTAGCTGTCACGGGCCGTACCCCGAAGCCTCAGGTGTGGCAGCTGTGCTTGTATATATTCATCGGTGCTGATTCACAGGCATTTGCTCATACGGGCTCTTTGATCACAACCGTTAAGAACTTTCCTGAGAGTCGAGGCATCGTTTTAGGCCTTTTGAAAGGTTTTGTTGGCCTAAGCGGCGCTATCATGACACAATTGTACCATGCCCTGAATGGAGATGATACCAAGTCCATCATACTACTCGTAGGATGGCTTCCGGCAGCTGTTTCAGTCGTGTTTCTTCCTGCAATTCGACTCATGAAGGTCATCAAGCAGAAGAATGAGCTCAGGTTGTTCTACTCTATGTTGTATATTTCACTAGGCCTTGCCAGTTTTCTGATGGTTATAATCATTATCCAAAAGAGGCTTACGTTTAGTAGGAGTGAATATATTGCAAGCGCCGTTGCTGTGCTTATTCTGGTCTTTTCTCCACTTCTTGTTGTTGCAAAAGAAGAATTTAGTGCCTGGAAAAGCACGAGACTATTGTTGCCAAGTAGTGACATTTCACATCATATCCAAGTTGAACCTGCAGTAACTCAAGTTTCCCCGCAGACACCTGCGGATTCAGTGGCGAAAGCCCCTGAGGCTGATGAGGCGGCAGCAACATATTCATGGAACAAGACAATTGCTTCAATGAGAAATGTCTTCCATCCACCAGAACTAGGGGAGGACTACACCATTTTGCAAGCAGTTTTTAGTTTGGACCTGTTAATTCTTCTTATTTCGACATCATGTGGCATCGGTGGTGCACTAACAGCAATAGATAACTTGGGTCAAATTGGCAAATCTTTAGGCTATCCAAGCAATAGCATTACCACTTTTGTATCACTGGTCAGCATCTGGAATTATCTGGGACGAGTAGCAGCCGGATTCTCCTCAGAATTCCTTCTGATAAAATACAAATTTCCGCGATCTTTGATGCTTACATTCGTACTTGCACTTGCCTGTGTTGGTCATATCCTGATTGCTTTTCCAGTTCCAAATTCTCTCTACACAGCTTCAGTGATCATTGGATTTTGTGTTGGAGCACAATGGACGTTACTTTTTGCAATAATATCAGAGATATTTGGCCTTAAATACTACTCCACATTGTTCCAATTTGGTGCCTTGGGAAGCCCAATTGGAGCCTATGTTCTCAATGTGAAAGTAGCTGGTCATCTCTATGATAAAGAGGCAATGAAGCAAATGGTAGCTAAGGGGCTCACAAGACAATCTGGCCAGGACTTGACATGCTTTGGGGGGAAGTGTTACAGAAAATCTTTTATTATAGTAGCAGCTGCAACCCTTTTTAGTTGCCTTGTCTCTTTAATTCTGGTAGTTAGGACAAGAGAATTTTACAAAGGAGACATTTATAGAAAGTTTAGAGATGGCACAAAGATGGATTTTGCTGATGCAACTGGTACTGAAGCATATGATGGCACCATCACTAAATCCAAGCATGAAACTGAATGTATAGATGAAAAGAAGCAAGAAGATTGCACATAGGTGAGAAACCCCTTCAAATTTTATCTGGTCCTGATCACCAATTCCCTTATACTTCTATTATTATATAATAATTCCAAAATACATACATATATATATATATATATACATATAACTCTAATAATAGTGGTACTGTAGTACTAATATTTATTTGTTTATATTAATAAGCACGGATATTACATTGACATGTTGGTGGATAGCACATCATCATATGTAGACTGGCTTGCATACAAACAAAAAGATACGTAGAAACTTTTAGGTTAACTTTGATTCTTTATATTTGAGAGCATATAGGAAGGGTAGAGGTGGCAAATCAACCCACTTAACTAAATTTACTCATACCCGTCCATGAATAAATGGGTATGGGTATCTTAAATTTTTGTATATGAGTATAAATGGGTTACCCAATAATACCCATTTAATAAATGGGTATTATTGGGTAACCCATCAAAGCCAATTAACCCATTTAGAATTCTCTTCCCCCCAAGTCTCTTCTTTTCCCCCACCTTTTTTTTTTTCAAATTTTTCATTTTGTCATGATGTTAACTGCTTTTGTTTTATTATTATTATTATTATTATTATTATTATTATTATTTGTTGATTTTATCTTATTATTTTATTTTCTCTTAGTTTGTTAATTTGCTCATTTTTTAGCATTACCAATTTATGATAAATTTTAGCCTATTTTCTTATCTTTATAAAATGAAATTTTAAATTTATATATGAAAAAAATGTTAGGGGTTCAAAAATTTTGGATTAAGTTTTTATATTAATTTTTATAGTACTTAGTTCAAAATTTTATATTCTTATTATTCAATTATTAAATAATAGGTAATTTTGTGACATAGAGTATAAATGAAAAAAAAATTGATAATTAAGTTTATTGAGCATTATAAGTAAATATTTAAAACTAATGATGGGTACAAAGAGTGATATAAATTGATAACTTAGTTTGCAAAAATAAATTTAAATGAGTGTGCAAAAAATTAAAATAAATGGGTAATTGGATTACCCAATTCATTTTTTGACTTATCCATTTATACCCATCTAATTAAATGGATATAAATGAATTGACTCACTTATACCTATTACCCATTTTACCCAACCAAGACCCGCCCAAGTCACCCATTTTAACACCTCTAAGGAAAGGGTAGCTGTTGCTATTTATGGTTATTTTTTGGTTGCGTAAATAGCAAGATCTGACTTGAATTAATAATTGAACCTTTTCAATTTATTAATTTTTTTTCTGATAAAACAAACGATAATTTTCTTGGAAAATCTTTCTCAAAGAAAAAGTTTCCCCTATAAAAATGTTTACAGCTTCTCAATTTTGACCTTTAGGAACTGGGACTAATCCAATCAGAGAATGAGAAAATTTAGCCATTATTCTGTCTGAAAACTGAGGCTTCAGTTGGCTTGCATCGTCGCACGTGAAAACATGCATAGAACAGATTTTTAAGGAGATCAAAATGGGCTTCGCCATGAATATGAAATCCAAAATTCATCTTGTTTTCTCTGCTTTCTTTTTTTCTCATATAAAACAAGATTACAACTAACCCAGTGGATTCATGCAAAGTTGCAAAACAAATACAGCTCAACACAGTTACTTTTTTTTTTCTTTGCTGCTATAATTCTTACTATAATAAGAGCAAACCGAGGACAACCAACAGATAGTCATTGATTCCACAGGTCTTTTGCACGTACAAGGTAATTGAGGATACTCTGCAATTTGTCCAAAAAGAGTTTACTATGTGCATCTGATATCTCCAGATCCTTTCTGCAACCTGCAGGCATCATAATTGATCGCACACCTCTACCAAGTAAAATTCATTTTACCAAAAACTGGATATAATAATAATAATAACACACACACACCCCTCTCTGCCATGGCAATCAGAAGAAAAAACTGATTAGAACATCAGAAAGGAGGCAAATAATGAGGACACTATACATGACAAGGGATACAAAAAATATACATGACAGTCAACTGTGCTTTGATCTAACACAAACTGCCTCAGCACCCTCTAATCCTACTTAGTACGATAGGGTACTCAAAACTACAAACAAAAGAATGGTTACAACAAAATCCAGCCTCACGTGACGACAACCTGCACCATAGCATGACAGAATATCAGCTACCAACTAATAAAATGGCATTATTACACAACGTGAAGCCAACGGACTGCTACAAGAATGTGGTACTGCTGCCACATGAACAAAATTTTCAGCACAAAAAAGTAGAACTTCATGCCACACATTAGCCCATTACAATGCGTTTTCTGAAAAATTCTTAGCTCTAATACTTGTTCAAAATTATTTCATCGTGGAAAAAAGTAAGTTATGAAGTTATGTACAAGTAGACTTCCTTACCTAAAATGCAACACGAGGAAATGAGAAAAGGTCTATTCATGGCTAGAGATACATAAACACAGAAGATTAGGCTTTGTAAGTTGTAACACGGCCAAAAGAAGGGAAAAAAAAAAGGTGCAACACACGAGTTTAATCAGTAAGATTGTCCTTTTAAGAAACCACACCTTCCGAAATTATTTTTTTAGTGACTGCATCAAGTATTCATAATAAACATAATTTTCATCCCATTCTGATCATATTATAGTTCTAATCAATAATATCACTTAGCATTCCTGAATTGTAACACTCTTAGCATTACTTTACTTGCTAAGTTCGAAAAGATTAAATATCCTGGTAATTTCTCTAAACAGACACACACCTCCAGACACCCCCTCACGAACATTCTTTTTCCCTTAATGCATAAATAGCATTTAGAACCACATAATAGCTGTAAAATAATTACGTGAGTTACCACATGTATACATCTATCCACATTAAAGAAAATGATTTCGCCATCAGGTTATAAATCTTCGTTCTTTCAACAAAAATATTTTCTTCCATGTAAGTTCTGCTTTCACTAGATATTAGAGCAATAATGACAAAAGAAAGAACCATAAAGGTAGAAATATGATGAAAATCCAGTATAATGAGATTATATCAAAATTAAGCGAAAGCAGTACCAATCTAGCAAACTTAGACAATATTTTTATGTTAAATTTAAGTTTCTTTTGAGATGGAAATGTAATACATTACCTATCATACATGTAAAAAGAGAATTTTCAAGTCCATTTGAACTATCAGTGGATTGAAATGCACACACACTCAAAATTTTAACGTCTTCAAAATTTTGAAGTCAGCCTTTAGATTTTATAGCTCACTCCAAGTTTCCATAGGGCATATATTTATGACCCAATCAACAACAAATCCACAATGCCTAAAAAAGATACTAACAGAAGTGTGAAGCTGCTGCCAGCAGCAATACGCACCATAATTGTGCAGTGTCTCTGACGTGGGTAGTGCTGGCAAGGACATCTCTGCAAATTGGAGTTCAAACCATCAGTAGCCCAGACACGACTTTTAAACTAAGTCACCTTATCGAATTTGTATGCAATTTATTACTTTTGATAAACTAAATCAACATTTTTCTTTTTGGTACTCATACAAAGATTGTGAACCAAAATTGGATAACTAGGTTATATTTGAATGAATTACCAGGAGCACAAAGGGATAAGGATGTCATAGAGGATGATGAAGGCCACGGGGCTGCAATATTGTCCCTTAGATCACAAGTAAAGCTGTAGCCTGTTGAATTGTCATATACCACATCTGCAGGCAAGCTCCCAAGCAAACAGCCTACAATTTATGCCAGAATTGCATCAACAAGTGCTACATTTTCGTTTTTGTATATTTCAATCAGCGCAACCCAAGAGATGTAATCCGTTAACTGCTTGTCACTTACCAAGTCATAAAAATTCACTTCCATACAGACACGCAAACATGCGTACACACTCTTAAGATATGCACACATACACATTCATATACATTTGTGTCTGCGTGTGGGGGTACATCTAAAGAATATGTGTTTACATGTATATGTATGCATTTATGCATGTACACACATATCCATGCATACACAGACTATTGCAGGTAAACCTTGTACATATTCCAAATGGCACCTGTCTCATCTTCATTTAAGAAATCAAAAGCAGAACAAAATATTTCCAATCTCAACGCACAAATAACAGAACTATTTTGCAGGATTTGTCAAAATGAACAGATATCAGTCGAAAAGTATTAGAAACTACACTATTTGATGGGACTTTAGGAACAATAAAAGCACTCAACAAGACACCTCAAATAATTTCCATTATTTAATGCAAATGTGTGGAAAGCACTAACTGCAAATCTTTCTACCATCTTCACATCAAAGGAAAAACATCATCTGAGCAACCAAAGTCAGATCCTACGCATCAGGAAGGCTGGGAATGCTACAACCGGGGCAAACTATAGTTATTAAATCCGGCCCAACAAGGAATCCGACAAAGGGAACCGGGTCAATGGGTCACTAGTTCAACCAGTGAGTCACTGATTGAACTGGTGTGTAGTAATTTAACATTTACAAATACAAAATAGTAATTCTAGTATATGTAAAATATCTAATAAAGTACTTTGATACTAATTATTGTACTTAGATATATAATGAACAAATAAATAATAATAGAAGATTTAATTACATTTTATCATTCTTTTACATAAATAAATAATATAGTCAAATATAAAACAAATTGTGTCACTTGTTTTCAAAGATATGCTTTACTTTTTTATTATTTTATTTTTGTATAAAAACAAAATAATTATCTAACTACTCAAATATTGTCAGTTTGAAAGTTAAAAATGATTCATTGTATAATAAAAAAGTAAACAAGTTTATTTAAAAAAAAATTAATGATCAAATAAAAACTAAGCATGTGGTAAAGTCTTATGTACATTTAAATGAAGATCCAATTTACAAATCTTGTCAAAAGCATATATACACTTTGTTTCAAAAACAAAGACCCACAATTGTTAAAAAAGAAAAAGGGTTAACTGGAAATCGGACAGGTTCCCAGTTGAACAAGCAGGTCAAACGGGTTTGACCCAGTCAACTCCTTGTCTGATCAAACTAGAGTCCTGGCCTGAAGCCCGGTTCACCTGCCCGACTGGTTCAACCACTGGGCCGGGCCTGGTTGAATAACTCTATGCATCCACGTCATAAACCCACCAATTATAAATGTGCATGCAGAAACAAAGAGACACAGCAAATTCAAACAAAGCTTCCTGCTATTTATCAAGACACCAGAGGCATCACTCCCAGGATGCAGCCCAATCTAAAATCACCCTCAATGCAAAGCGGCTAAAAGGGGGGAGTAAATAATTAGATGCAGCTAAGAAAGCGGTAGGCAGTCAGGAAACATGTTTAATATCTGTAACAATTAGTAGGCAATTAAGGCCCATAACAAAGTCACAAACTGAAAGTGAGCATTGAATGACTTTACTCTTGCATCACTTGGATTACCTAGGCAATTAGAGATTCGAGTTCCAAATAGTAACCCCTTAGCATTCACTATTTCAAGTAGAAACATAAAAGCATCCAACAGATACCCATGTCAACTGAAGGTGTAAACATAAGATTACACCAGCAGAAAACGTCTGCATGTCCTACAGATGACCAACAAATTGACATTGAACAATAACTCCATATAGTAGGAAGGAGAAGACAGAGAATATAGTCAAAGAAAAGCTCAAGTGCAGTGATAATATGATTACCTTGCTGTCCATTTGCTGCTCCAGCCAAAGAGTGCAATATCATGAGAGATTAAAAAAAAAATTCAAATCAGAGGAAATATAAAACCTTGTACAAGCAATAGAGACTGAAACTGTAACAAGCAAATCACCTTGAAGACTAAAATCTTTCAAGTCCACATCACAAAGCTCATAAACGTTAGTCATTACTCCAGCCTTCTGTAGCATGGACCCAAACACCGTTGAACAAATTATTGCTTGCTTGTTCGTGATTAACATTTGTCTTTGTATCCCCAGAATGTATGTATTTAAGGAGCTACAACATGAAGGACTTGGAGCAGCTACATTTCGACATGCTTTAATCACTTCTGATGGTTGCGTAAAATTCAAAGGACAAACTGCATTCCATATACCACAACTATAAGAACAATTCCAGCAGCATAGCACTAAAAATGCAGCAACAATAATCCAGGATATCTATGCTGTAATTTCCTGACCATTTTTATTCATAACTTCTTCTCGAAGAGGTAATAACATATAATATTCAGTATAGAGCTAACCATGAGATACCAAATCCAAACTACTTAAGCTTGAAAGACAATGCAACCATACTTCTTATCCAGGGAAATGTTTAATCAGGCTTCCCATCTTGGGTTTCGGATGTAATGTGAGAAAGTGTTGCTCAATTTAATGCCACCAAGGTAAATGTAAAAAAAATGCCTTACTTTTTAAGTCCTACATTGTTTCTTTAGAATCCCAAACTCTGTAAACACACTCAATGGATTTCATCACCATAACCAATTCACATAAATGCTTCTTTGTCACTGCTAACGAAGCAAGGACAAAAAGAAAAAAAAAATTACGTAAACAGTTCACACAATTATAAGTAAAATAGGTCAGATAGCATGTGGAATTCCATGTTGGCATTGAATTGGAAAAATCTGCCTAGTGATTTGTAGGTGTGGTGTCCAAACTATTGATTTGGATTGAATTGTCTTGGTGGTAATTACACACACAATAGTCCGAGTGGTTTTGGCCCTCTTGGGTCTAATCACCAAAAAAAAAAAAAAGGTTTACTGACTTAACAGTGTAAATTCAGGATTAAAGAAGAAGAAGCAAACAAGGATTTCAAAGCTTGATTTTGGTTCCAGCCAACTAAATTCTCCAGTTTACCTCATGTTTAGCACTCTAATTTCTCATTAGTTACTTCCGTATTTAAAAATAAAAACTCCTCCAACCCTAAAATATACTGTCTCCCCCTAATTTCTCAGTAGTTACCTCCATATTTAAAAACAAAAACTCATCCAACCCTAAAACATACTATGTCTCCCCCTCTCTCTTGGTACACTTGTGTGCAAATAATTGATTCCTAAACAGAAAAACATTGACTAAATACAACTCAGATAGTTAACCAAAGATGACACATGTACAGCCTGTTGAATCCTTGATATTATTTCATATATTGAGTAAACAATATACTCTAGGTTATTCTTTTCCTTCTACTTTGTTTACTTTTCCGGGAGTAATGCATAGTTGCATATAATAAGATCATAAACCTCTGCTGAAATATTATGCAGCTCAATGAGCTCTCTGATATCCAGTAAATGAGAAGTTTAGGTTCTTGCTCACTATTGAATAACAACACCTGATTTTAGTCAAAGGGCCATTATTGATTAACTCTTTCTAAAAATCTCAGATTTCCAGCCTTACAACAAAGTATAAATGCAAAATATCCAAAAGTCAAAGTATTTGAAAGATTAAAACCAAAAATGATTCTTCCATCTGAAATAGAAACAAAGACCACTCGAAGAAGCATTCTCTAACTGACAAAGCAGAGAATACAGGAGAGGTGGTAACTAGTTTTAACATGTCACATATCTTATAGTATGTAGTTGAATCTATCATACTTCAGTGAGGAAAAGAATAATGGTAGAAGCACAGTAAGGCATGCACAAGATGCAAGCAAGCAAATTTTTTTCAAGACTTCAAGGTGCTCTGGAAGTTCAGAGCATAGAAGAAACAATGGAAGATACAAAAAAAATACCTCTGTTAGCTTTGCAGGCAGATAACATCCGAAACACAGAATTGGCATCTTCCAATGGGAGTTTACTTGAAATCCAGGAATACACAACGCCTCTACAATCATTTATGGTGTCAACACTAGATTGAGCAGCAGCTATGTCCTTGTTACCGGTCATCACAGATTGTAGCCCTGAAATCTGTACTGCAGCCTCCATAATCGCAGGCTGACAGATTGGTCTGCAACACTCTTTTAGATGATCCACCGTGGTACAAGCCTCTAATAATTTGCTAGTGTTCACTGTTTTCTCAAAAGTCGTTATATCCTTCACAGGACAAGAACCACCAGTGATATTTAATGACTTAGCAGAGCAGATTACAGGTAGCGAGCTGTTTGCCCCTCTGCTGGCCAATATACTGATGATATCTTTAAAACAATCATCAGCAACAGCATCTTGCAAAACTAAATTACTGGAATTCTTACTATAAAATCCTTGGAATATGTGAAGTAAGCTACCCAACTGTGGGCAGCATATGACATTTCCTACTATTGCCGCAAGCGGTTGGGAACAATCAGATGCAGTTTTCTGTGTGATACTTGAAATGGCTGAGAAATTTACAGGACACCTTCCAGTCAAGACTGGCTCATACGTTGTTGGGTAGATAGGGTACATTGGTGGCAGAGGCTGCCCAGAAATTGGATAATGCGGAAAAACAGCTGGTGATATTTCTATGGGTTCAAATAGTCCAGCAGCAGGTGGACTAGCTAACTCTGAATTGGAAGAAATATACCCAGGTTCTGGTGGTGTTTGAAAAGCCACTCCATCCTGAATGGTAGACCAACACCAAATTGCAAAAAGTAGGAAATGATGGCCGAAAGGACCTACAATAAAACACAACCAGACTAAGTGTTCATCCATGAATGCATCATTCTGTGGTAACATCGAAAACGAAAAGAAATAACAAAGAACAAGATATTTAGTTAGACAAGATATTGAGTTAGACAACATCATTCGTGTGCCATGATGGTACTTATGGTTAATTAGTTATCCCCGGGATTGATGAAAATATTGAAACTTTTTTTGTTTTCTATACAAGAGAGAGAGTCAATACTTGAAATCATCATCACATCTTGCATACTGCAGTGGTGGAGGGTAGTAGCCTGGTTTATACGCTGGTTTTAAGCAATATTATGGTCTAGCCTTCAATTATCAGGTACCATCAACTCAAGACTCACAAAAAAAGAAGGTGCAAGAATGATTTTCAAGATACAGAAAGGATGATTACATCATACTCCCAGAGTGGTAGTATATGAGATAAAGTGGAGATACATAAAATGGAAACACAAGTCATGTGTCGTGATGCCCGCATCAAGGTATTTAATTTCTATTCATAACTGCATTCACTAACTCACTACATTAAGAGGTCCCATTCTTTTGTGGATTAGAGTTATTTTCAGACACATAGATGTTATCCTTCTCTTATTCTGCATTGAAGGAGCAACTGAAGGTAGTTTCTGTTCATAGGTTGGTTAACTTCTTTACTCTTCACTTGTCTACCTATGGTTTCATCGATAGAACAATTTGTGATGATAGTAATATCAATTGATTTTCACCTGCAGAGGAATCTAAAGCAAAGCACGGCAAACACTAAAGGAAAGCAGCAGCTCTCTTAACAACTTCAGCTAAACCAGGATAAATTAAAATTACAAGATCAAAGAACCAACCAAAAGAACCAAGAACTAGGAACCCGTAGCTGCTTGAAAGTCTAGCAACCCATCAGAATTCATAATTAAACTTCGAGATCATCGAAAACAGCGAGTAAAACAAAATTAAGAGAAAATCCAAAACCTCAAACACCACAATTAACAACTAACTCACCCTTAAGACGCGTAATTCTCTTTACACAATCCATAACTCCACTAACCCTCCTCCAGCAACATGGAGAAATCCAAGCTCAAAAACACGCTAGCAGTTCAGGTTATTTCCATTGTGAAACCTGAAAACAGATAACACGACATAATTAAGTAATAAAAGTCAAATCAATTACAATAAAATTAGACAAGATTAGAACTTCATTACCAACTCATAGCGGATAAAATCAGTTCCTCAGAAAAAATATCGAAATCCCACTCCTACCCATTCCCGCTTCTTAAAATCCCACCCTTCCGCTGTTTTAAAAAGTTGGAAAAAATACAAACACTTCATTACCTACTCAACTAGTAAAAAGAAAAATGCAGCTGAAATCCTTAAGATCCATAGTCATCAACACATAAACACCAAAAAAAAAAAGCTTTAAAATAAAATAAAAGCAGAAAAAATAAATTCAACCAGTACCTGAAGTTACTAAACCCCAAAACGGACCGGAAATTTCTCAGATCATTTCTCATTTGTAAGCCCTAGGGCTCCAAATTCAGAAACCCTTCTCCGCTCCCACCAAAACAATTTCGACAATACCAAATAATCAGTGCTTCAAACCCTTTATTTCACTTCAAAAATGAATTATCCTTTTTCTTGAGCTCCGGAAATGGGAAATGGGATATTTAAACAAAAACAAAGAAAAAGAGAGAGAGAGAGAGAGATAGAGAAAAGAAAAGCCCTAGATTGAGAAGAGAGTGAAGAGTAAAGTTTTGGGAGCTCAATAACCGAATGATTCGAGAGAAAAAGTAAAAATGCTTTCCTCTTTGAAGAGTGTCTTTACGGGGTCTGTTTTCTTTCCTTTTTCTAAGTATGCTTACCTAAACCTACTCCGTTCCAGTGTAGCAGCGGTGTACCACTGGATTCGGAATATAATCAACCTGATTTTGCCACGTGTTATGATTAGAAAAATGAGTCCTTTTCTTGCATACATATACATACATATATATATATATATCTTACATATATAAAGCACGAATCGCTTGTGAACAGTGCAGAATGGACCGGTTATGCCGTTATTTTTGTGAGCTTGAGGGGCTTTTCGGTCTTTTGCTGATGGGTGGCAGTGGCTCTGCTGGCATTTTGCTTCTGTCCGCGGGCTCTCTTGGAGTGGTGAGTGGACCGGTTATCCAGTAATTTTCACCAACTTTGAGGGCATTTGGTATTGTTGGCTGTGGTTTCCTTTTGCGAGCAAAATTCGTAAATATCAGGCTGGCTTCTGGTTAACTGTCCGATTGTACAAAACATATTACATTCAAATTAGCACCATCAAATTCAAATTAACTCCTCTTACTAACAAAAAAAATTAAATTAACTTCGCTTGCGAAGTCTATTGCATGGAAATTAAGACCGGTTCACAAATTAAGATCAGTGGTGAGTGGGTGATGTAACCTTGCACTTTGATGCAAGCTGCTGCTCGGTTGTTTCTTCAGTTAAAATGGTTAGAGAGTCTTCCTGTTTTAAAAAAATATATACATAAGGGTCCCATGTAAAATATATATATATATTTTTTTTTTTTGCAAAAGGATAAACTTTCTTCATAAAAAAATATAATTTAACAAATGGATTATAGTTTTTGAACTTTTACAGTAGACCCAACTTTTTTCTTTTCGAGCATGAAAAAATTATTCAATAAATACATATTTTCTAACCTTAAACACGAGTTTATTACCCCATTTGGTAGAATAGTTCCACCAGTTATTTCTTACCATTTTATTCTAACCTATCCTTAAACGCAAGTTGATTTGGAATTCACCATTTAAAGTTTTCAACTATCTCTTGATTTTGAATACCATTTTTATTTAAAAAGAAAAATAAAAGAGAAACTCACCTATTTTAGCACATGATTTAAGAACACAAAATAACCTATAATTTTGCAGCTTATGATACAGATTACAAAAAAAAAAATCATCAACCAAGTAAGAGAAAGAAACATCAAATAAGTAAGAATTATAAATCCAAAGAACCTAGAAAGTAGAAAAGAAAATTTTAAGCTCAAAAAATTATTAGATATTGTATATATCTAAGCCATTATCTTAGTGAAAATTCAAAGAGGTTCTTCCATGCTCCTCATACTCACCACATAAAGTGTTGCCTCCCATACAAATTATCAAAACCAAAATCATCAAAATCTCAAAAAAAAAAAAAAAGAGAGATAGACAGCCTAAAAAAGGAAAGAACGAAAGAAAAATAGTAAAATATGCATATTCACCCTTGCAAGTTAAAATTGTTCAATATTGAGAGTCTAGACTCGTTTTCAATAAATGATGTCCTGTCCAAAGAAATCATTGTTGCTCCCGCCATTCTTGAACACTTTTAATCTATCAATCAAACAATCATCTGAATTGCAACAAAAAGAATAGGATCCAATATGAAATCCTGATTAGGAGACATGTATAGCCATATGCCTTTTAGTTCTACCTAATTTTAGGCATTACTTACTGATTAATGCGACATTAAGAATGTTAAACAATCATGCCTTTTAGTTTTGCTTAATTTCAGGCATTACTTACTGATTAATGCTATATTAAGAATGTAAGATAACCTGATTTTAAAGTCATGTTTATTTATGCAATTAGGAAAAAATACACACTCATACACATGTGACATGACTACTATATCTAACAAAGAAAAAAAAACACAAATATAATAGCAAAATAATGAGTCTCAGCTACCTGACGCATGGCGTCAAGGCTTAAAAACTAGTATATATATATATATATATATATATATATATATAAACCTAAGCCTTCTTCTCCCACGTTGATCCACGTGGCTGCTCTTGGGGAGGGAGTGTACTGTAGCAGCTACCTTTTGCCAACAATGCCCTCCAAATTTGAGTTTCTGCACTGAAAAATTGACTACTGTTAAGGGGCTTGTACGTCTTTTATCATTTAATAACAATTTTGCCCTACCAGATATACCATCTTCTCAAAACAGTAGGTAACTGTTCAGGGTTATTTCTGGAATATTGGGTCAAATAATCCTCCTTTCCTTTTCATTGTTCCTGTATGTTGGACTACTCCTCTTCGGTGGAAAAAGAGAAGCAGAGAAGCAAGGAAGTAGCTGAACAGCTTTTAGAAACAGTGGCCAAGAAATGGGTTGTCCGCCTGCTATGTGTAGTTCCAAGCCAAACAAAGAAAAGTATGAATTCAACTCTTCCACCACTTGGTCAACAGTTTCTCCTTTCTCTATCTTTCTCGTTATTTTGTTTCTACTTCGTTTTGCTTTCTGCTTTCTAGACAATGAAAACTGGGACTTGAATGCAGTGAGTGATGCATAATCTCTTCTATGAATACATTACACCAAATTGAAGATTACAGAATCTGTGGTAGTTTCTCTAAATCCAAGTATCTATAAAGCTGGAACATTAAAAAAACATGAGGTATCCTTGATCAAATATGTTTGCTCAGTAACTTTGAACCATACATCCTGATATTTGCACCAAAAAATGCACAAACCTAATGAGGTCAGATTGTCTGGTAAGAACTGATATAGCCCTTGCGGGACAAAATAAAAAAGCATCTTAAAGTCGTTGAAACGAATTGATCTGGTTATAGTAAGCAATAATTGAACGATAAAAAAATCTCTTAAGGAAGTATTCCACATCAAAACATTTCAATGAGTTGATGAATCCCAAAAATTGCGAATCTTCACTTAATAAGTTACTTTCATTTTTCTTAATCTTCTAGATGTAACAGAGAAAAAAAAAAATTTCGACGACAAAAATGTCATCTCTCATGCCACAAAACCCACATGCATGTACAACAGTTCAGGGAAATCCACGTATCTGTATCATTGAAGGAGAAGAAGCCGGCATTGCTGCATATGTTAGCAGAAAATCCCATGTTATTGACCGGTCATGTAGTGGAAGAACAGATGGTTGATATGGGAAGGGTGATGCTTCAAGGAACCATTTGATTTTTTGTGCAATGGAAAAGTTATGTAGGCAGCTAGGAATCTAGGATATGCAGACAAACATATTTTGGATGAACTGTGAAGGTTTGGGTTCAGTTATGTCATCTCTAACGCCATCTCTATGGTCATATCTAACAGGTATAGACCACATATTGAGTTTTTGGGTGCAAATTTTCGTACATGACAGGCTTCAAAATCTAGCATGCAAAAGAAAGGCAGCAATGGTGTCACGATCTCATCTGTTGTTCAGTTTCTTTTCATCCTTATCTAATCAAGCATAATGCGGGAGTTGTATTGACAGGGTACTAATCTAGGTGTGCTTATCATGAACTGATTGACTAAGTTCTTCAGTGCATCGATTGATTTCTTTCTCCTTTTTTTTTTTGGTGTAAAATTTCGTACATGAGTGAGGAACGTTACTCCTAGATTTTATTAAGAAAAAAAAAAAAGAAGAAGAAGAAGAACATGAACAAAACATCCAAAAGTACATGGAAAAATAAAAAACAACTAAAGAAAGAGTATTACTCCCTTATATCAAGGCCTAACTCTTCTAAAGATGGAAACCAATTCTGTCAATGCGCAATTCCCCTTTAGCTCCTGCGTGTCAGTTCAGTAGTTCGATTCCCTGCTAATCCTACTTTTTCAATTGTAGGTTCCTTTGCTTTACTTATTAATCAAATGTATGCTTTATATGACTATAATCAAGTTGACTAATCAACAGATTGATATTTATTGGAAACAAAAGAGTAAGCATTTCTTTCTACACTTTATTTTTATTACCTTCGTCTAGACAAATGAGTAGACAGGCATGATTTTGATTTGAAATCCTCGCATTGATCATTAATGTTCTTGAATAGTAAAGATGCCCATTCCTATCTATTCTTCATATATGAGCTTCATATGCGTACAATGCTTTTACAAGAAAGCGCCCGCGTTGCTCATTACTGACAAGCAATTTCTGTCGACATAAGTTATGCCAAAAAAATCTTTCAATATTCTTTACACAATACCTTGGGCATTGGCTGTGCCTTGCACAGCCAGAAATACTCTAGTCTCAAAAGAAGTACTTATTTAGCTCATACGGTAGTGCCAAATATTGGGTGTGTTTAGATTCGCATTATTTGTGAAAAATAAAAATTATTTGTTTCCATCGTAAATATATTTTTTAATTATTTTTTAATTTCACATATATCATATTATTATAAGTGCTACAGTAAATATTCTCCTATCTAAACATACTTTATCTTTCTATTGTTATTAATTATAAATTGATACAATATATAAATAATTCATCAACAATGGTTTGTTTATTCATATTTATATTAAAAAGTTATTATATTTCAAATATTTAACTTGCATATTAATCTTTAGAAACTTTTGTACATAATTTACTACAATGTGATAATGTTTATTAAATAGTAGAATGCATAAAAATAGAAATAACATGTAATCTTCAATATAGTAATTAAATTTTCTCATGAATATGGTTGTACAACTATTCATATTTATTTTCAATTTAGGAAAAAAAAATACAGCAATATACTTTCATATGAATATTTATTACTTTTAATCAAAGTTAATGAATTTTTCAATGTAATAATTAAATTCACATCAAGCAAAGTTATCAAATATGGATGAAAAGAATAATTCAAATTTATTAAAAGAGATTGAAGCTGTTAGAAGATAGATAACTTATAAATATAAAATTAATTGGAGGAGATTTAATGATAAAACTGAAATCTGAAAACTAAAATTTAAGTACTGAAGTTTGAACATGCTGAATTCATTAAGTCAAACCTCGGAGTACAAACGAGACGAGTCGAATCAATTCTTAACCTAGGTGTGTGAAGTTTGAACTCGAGTTTGAACCCGACGAGATCAAAATGTAAAGTTCGAACTTGAACTTGACTCAAATTCGAGTCGAACTCAAGTTTAAAAAAATAAAAAATAATTATTTTATTTTAAAAAATGAATAAAATAATAATTTTCTTAATAAATAGCAAAAATATTAGGGATATATATGTAATTTTACTATTAAATAATATATATATATAATCGAGTTCGATCCAACTCACGAACTAACAGTTTAGTATTTTTGAATTCGAACTCGATTTGGTCAGCTCAACCTCGACTCGAGCTCGAGTCAAGCTTGGACTCGAGTCACTCGTGAGTTGCTTGTGAACGGCTCGATTCGTTTGCAATCCGAGTCAAACTTGTATAATAATCTATTGAATTTGAGTACTAATTAAAAATTTTTAGTAGATGTATATTATATAATTTAATACCAATTATCTTATTTTATTATTATGTTAAATTAGTTCTTTAAATATCACTAATTAATATTGTTTAACTGAAATTATAATATGAAAATTGAATTTGCGTATGTGTTTATGTATGCAAATATGTGCTTCAGAAAAAAAATACATGTCTATTTGTGCAATAAGTAGGGGTGGCTAACAAGGCGAATTGGTCACAAGCAAGTCGATCAAAGCTCGACTCAAGACCGAGTTCGAGCTACTCAAGTCTAGTTATTGAGTTGAGCTCGAGCATTTATCTATTTAGGTCTCGAGCTTGTCTAGCTTTTCGAGGTTTTCACACACACACACACACACACACACACACACACACACACACACATATATATATATATATAAACTAAAAATAAGGCTTTGTTTGTGTGGCGACCCCACTTCCCCCTGAGGCGAACCAAAGGGTTGGCGGGCCGTCTGCCCATCTCTCGCCAGGACTCACGCGAGCAATCTAACCCGAAACCTTTCGAAGAATAAACTAATCTATTACAAAACAACTTCTCCCAAATAGAATCATACCTAAAGCCCCATTAATTTCAGAGATAGCAATGATAAAAATAACCAGTCGAGGCCCTTAAACGACCTACGAGCTACGTACCAAAATATAAGCCGTACCCAACCAGATGGATAAATACATAAATCCATAATACAAACTTACAAGTTAAGTAATCGAATTAGGGTTTACACATTTTCCAGCTTCAAGTGGCAATCCAAAAAGGAAAATACATTATCCCAAGTAACACATGACAGCCCACAGAATAAGTATTAGTGATCAAATACAATCCAAAAGGAAACATAAATAGGCATCCAGCTTTCAGTTTCCAGAACCTGTTAAGGAAAACAATACACGTGGGGTGAGCTAAAGCTCAGTGGTGCCCCAAAACATGCAATCACATAATATCAAACAGCGATTAATAACTGCACAAATTTAACCAGTTAGGAAAGCGTATAACAGCACAAGGTAGGATACGTGGGCTCTCAGGAGCCATTTCCCTCGCTTGATCACCAATTATCGTAGTTGACCCTCCGTCAACTCTCACTACTTATAATCCATGTAGATCCACTTATATTAATCCTAACCCGTCACCGTTCATACCTCTGCTTCGGGCCCAAACTTCGACTACCGATGCAGTATACTCGAGATATACCCGTATAAAATTAGTCGAGGGATTCACCCAATGACGTGATTGCAATCAGATATATGCGTCGAGGAATTCACCAAACAACGTGATTGCAATCAGATACATGCGTCGAGGGATTCATCCACCGACGTAACTACATATTGATTTATGGTAGTTAGATTCATGCGTCAAGGAATTCACCAAAGACGTGATTGCAATCAGATACATGCGTCGAGAGATTCACCCAATGACGTGATTGCAATCAGATACATGCGTCGAGGGATTCACCAATGACGTAACTACATTTAGATTTATGGTAGTTGGATACAGAAGTCGAGGGATTCACCCAACGACGCAACTACATTTAGATTTATGATTTCAAGAGAAAAATGTTTTTGCACAAGTCACCACTCGAACGGCTAGTGCGATAAAGTACACACAACTCACTTCGATGGATCAGAAACCAATTTTTCAACTTATCACACATCAAGTCAAGAAGGTACTTTAAGCAGGTAAGCATAGAACAGGCAGGGACACTCACCAAGAGTGGAGTTCAGATATCAAATTGGAATCGAATTCCGCGTCCTCGCAATACCCTAGAAAACCAGGTTTTAAAACTATAAGTGTTGTTATACGGTTTCTTAGTTTATAAATACAAGGTTATCTGGTACATAACTAGTTTATCTACTCCAAATAAATCAACAATTTCCCTAGAGTTAAACTGATGAAGGTGATGAAATACTTCGTAGGATTTCTTTCTTTCTAGAGGTGCAAACCAGAACCAATTTGCTTTGAATAAGGTTTCTTGCCAAACAAGTTTTCTGCGTAAATTATTAAAATCAAGTTTGACCTTTAAAGTACAAATATAACATTTTCAATTTCTATTCAAGTTCTAGGTTTATAAGTATAAAAGATTCTCTAGTTTATAAATGGTTTATTCTCTCGAAATAATTCGACAATCCACTAAGGATTAAGGGTTAGTAAAAGTAGGAAATGTTTTACATGGCTTTCCTTTAAATACTTTTCTTTATAAAAGTGCGGCTAGTATTATTTTATTTAAAGTAAGTTTTCTTGCCGAGTAAGTTTCTGCTGGTTTTGGTTAAAGTCACTAAAATCTTGTATTTTTTGGAAATGTTCCTCTAAACAACTAGCCAAGAGCAATACTTAATGAAAAGAAAAGGAATAATATAAGACTTAGAGTTTTCAAAAGCTAAAGAATTTATATACTATAGCTATCAAGGCTAGTTTGAGCTAAAGGAAATTATCGAGTTGGAAAGTTTTAGGCAAAACACTAGATATGGAGTTTTATAATATAATACTAGCTGGAAAAATATTTTTGATTAATTTGATCACAGTTACTCGAGTTCGCAAAGTCGAAACGACTTCCACAGCTCCGGTTCCGTTTCGAAATTATATTATGGATCAAAATATGACAAAATCACATAGCAAATTACTAAGGTTTCGTCAATCATTAGCCTTAGATTTCAACAAATGCATTTCTGATAAAGATAAAATGAACGACCAAGGCTTCATCAATCATTAGCACTTGGTTTCAGCAAGCCCATCACAAACAAATAAAAATAAAAGTAAGGCCTCCAAGACATTCCAACAATTAACTTTTATCATCCAGTAGTACTTATAAAGTCATTCAAATGGCCAAGGGCTTCATCAATCATTAGCCCTTGACAACATCAATTACTTCCAAGCACAATTTAATCAAGAATTTAAACCACAAGTAAGCTACAAGTTCAATCCAAATCCAAATTCAGTTTCACGAAGAAACAGGACATTCTTACAAAACAGTCTACTTGAGGATTCACAGACAGCAGTATATATGGAGGAAAAATATGAAATTTCTACAGAACAAAGGCCTATGATTCTAGTTTCAAATGCCACTGACGGTGCCTTAAACGGATTTTCCTACACCAAGATATAAGCATTTTACTGAGATGGGTCAGTGAAATCCGAAAATCTGGAAACTCACTTTTCACTTGTGAAAAACTCCTTTTTCTCTTTTAAAACCATAAGACTTTTATTCAAACCATCCATACATTTAATTATGACATTCATACCAGCAATTTTTAACATGATTTAAGCATCAAATTTCAACAGAACCCAACGAATATACATGTATACCAAGTTTAAAGTCTTGTAAGATGTTTAGACTAAGATTAAATCATTTTCTATCCAATATTCAAGGATTAAGGCAAATGAACCCTTCATTTCACACTTAAATCTAACATGCATGTTAAGACTGAAGTATCATGTAATGTATTGAACCTCAATATACAAGTTTGGAACCAAAATTCATAGAGGAAAACTAGAAAGTTCTTTCTTTCCCTCTCTCGGCCATCCCAATAGATTTGCAGCAACATTACCTCAAGGTTTTCAACAAAGTTCCATCTTTTACTTGGTTAAAACACTCAACACTCAGTATACACTCTGTCCTACCGAAACTAAAACAAATAACATGTAATTTGAGCAAATAATCCCAACAAAAGCAACAATTAATTCTGTCCTCTGCTAAATGCAACTTCCAGCAGTTCGGCAGTTAAGTACAAGACTGTTTCCCTCAATTTCTTCATTTTTTTTTTCACCCACCAACTTAACATGCAGAGAGTAATTATCACACTACAGAGTTTTTTTAAGCAGCAATAAGAAATTTACTGCCAAGAATTTGAAGAGAAAAGCTGAATCAAACTCTACTTCCTCTCTCAGCCATGATGGATGAGTTCTAGCAGCAATCAGTCTTTAAGACAAGAAAATTCCCCCAATAAACTCCTTATTTTAGACTTAAATCTTGCATGCATGTTAAGACCATTGTATTATACAATATATTACAGCTTAATATAAAATTTCAGGACCAATATTCATAAGGACAGCTGGAACTTCTTCATTTCCCCTACTCGGATGAAGCTAAAACAAATTCCAGCATGTTTCTTTCAATAGTTTCAGCTCAAAGTTCCAACCGTTCACAAGTTCTACAGCTAAACCTCTTATAAGAACCTAAGGTACACATATTGCATGCATTTCTTACAATATTTTCCATTTTATACTGATAACAGGCTGCAACTCAAGCAAACAGCTCACGGTTCCTTCAATTTTCTGTCCAATAACTTATTCATCTTCTATGCAGAAATTTCCTTGGTTAAGAACTCATTTTCCTTACTAAATTTTAACATGCAGATGCTTGACCAACTGATTAACATTTCTAGTTCAGAATTAAGTTCAAACACGGTTATAATTATCTCCAAAATTTCAGAAATTTTCCAGCTATCTTCGGATGATCGTGCATGCAGCAGATTTCTGTTTCAATTAATTTTTTTCTGGTTTAAACCCATTAATTAACTACATGCAAGGCCCAATTATCTTGTTATTAACTAGTTAATCATGGTTATAAACTCAGAATAACCAAATTAAACCGAATTAAGCTGCATTAATCAGGACAAGTTCTCGGCAACATCATTTGTCCCCAAAACAGATTTTTCTAGAGTTTTGATTTCATCAACCGACTGCATAAACAATACATGCATGCCCCTAATTAGCTTAATCTTTTTGTTTATGATTGGTTAAACACATAATTAAGCTCAGATTGTCACAGGAAAACAAAAATAAAGCTGCAATTTCTAATCAACTCTCGGCAGGAACATTTTCTTCCAGAATCAGATTTTCCTCTTATTCAATTCATCATCCGAACACTTAACCTTCACATGCATGGCCATAAACAATTTAATCTACCTCCGATCAACACATCTCAGCCCAGAAAATTACCTCAGACCGAAGCTCACTCACACGGCAGAGAAACTGAAATTTTCTCTCCTCTCGGTTCTCACGTACGGGTTTGATTCTGGTTGCAGTAGTTGCTGCTGGAAACGGATTGCAGCTAGTATGGTGTTGCGGTGAAGATGGTTGTGGTTGGTGGAAGGTGAAGAGTGCGACAAGGGGTGGAGCTCACGCGGTGCTGCTCCCCTTTCTTCTCTCCATCTCACGGACAGAGCAGGAAAAATTTGCAGCTCGCGGATTCTTTTCTTCCCTCTCGGATTGCAGAGTGCGGCTCAGTCTCTCTCTCTCAATCTCAGTCGATGTTAACGAGGTGAAGGTGGAGTGTGGTCTGAGGTGAATTGTTGCAGAGGAAAGGGAATGGAGTTGCGGTAAGTGATATGAGAAATGAAACAGAAATATGGTGCCGCGGTTTGTGATATGAAGTGGAGAGAATGGTTTACGGTTTTGGTGCAGAGAAAGAAATGGAATTGTGGTTTCAGTCGTGAGATAGAGAGGGTGGTACGGTGGTGTCGTGGTTTAAGGAAAGGATTGCGTATAAGAATTGGTTGCGTATCAAATTGGTAATAGCTGCGGTGATTGGATTTGTGGTCAGAAGTCTTGTTTGGTTTGCATGGAAATGTAAGGCATTTTAGTCTTTTCACTTTGCTCCCTAACCTCAACTTAATTTCTCAAATCCAACTTAATTCTAAAAATCATCCCCAAGCGTGATTTGAACGCCTAATTATACCCTAATATACTTAAACCATTTTTTATTGAATATTTAGCGATTAAACTTTAATATTAGGGTTCCTAATAATTTCTATATTATTTAGCGATTAAATTAGTTATTAGAATTTTCAATTATTATTCCTCAAGAAATAGAGTTAGTCTAACTCGAAATTTATCGATTTAGTAATATAAAGTCAAATGAAATAATAATTTAATCCAAGGGTGTCAATTTGCACATAAAAGTATTTTTACGCACTTATTGCGAAAACAAAGAAAGATAAGGATATATTTATCGAATTTTCATGCATTAAGCATGTTTAGTATATTAGAATCATATTTATCTAAAATTCATTGGTTTTCATCTTAACGCGAAAATTCCTATTAACATTTAACATCATTAACGATTAAAACTAGTTATCGGAAATCAAAGAATTTATTTTAAAGTAATAGAATTAATCCAACTCAAGAAATATTAATTTAGTATAGCAAAACCGAATAATTCAATATTGGCACAATTATATTATTTATTACATAGAAATTATCTTTACACTTTTATTTCAAAACAATTAATTACAATACTAGAATTCAAAGAAATTAATTGTTAGATCAACGAAATAGTTTACCATCGAAATATGAAGTTAATGTAACCAAACTAAGAAATTTAGTAGTCTAGCACAATTCTTTTATTTTGCACATAACGTTTATTTCTACGTACTTATTTAAAAACAATTGGACTTAGTGCTAAAATTTATTAAAGAATTAAAATGCAAATAAAATATGCCCTGATAATTATATGTCTATTTTCAGGGTTCTCACAGTTTGGATTTCTCAATTATTAAAAAATAAGTTTTTTATATACAATATTACAGTAATATACAAACAAAAACAACTCTAAAAACACTATATCCATACAATATATCAAAAACAACTCTACATATACAAAAAATATATGTATACCACCACCCTTACTCTCCACTACTACCGCCACCACCCCCACACCCACGACCCTTCCTCCTCTCTCTCTTTCTCTCTCTCTCTCCCCCATCTTTCTTCTCTCTCTCCTCCTCTCTCCTTCTCCCTTCCCTTTCCCTGCCCCCCAATTCCCCCTCCCCTCTATTGACTGCAACCTTTCTAGTGGCAACCAAATTTGATCGCAAATAGAAAGGTCGCAGCCAAAAGCCACGACTCATGGTTTCTGGTCGTTGTGGCGACCCCACTTCCCCCTGAGGCGAACCAAAGGGTTGGCGGGCCGTCTGCCCAGTCTCGCCAGGACTCACGCAAGCATTCTAACCCAAATCCTTTCAAAGGATAACTTAATCTGTGATAAAACAAATCTTCCCGAATAAGATCATCCTTACATCCAACTTAACTTCAGAGATAGCAGAGATAAATTAGCCAGTCGAGGCTCTTAAACGTCCCACGTGCTACGTACCAAAATATAAAGTCGTACCAATCCGGGTAGATAAATACATAAATCTCTATTACAAATTTACAGGCCAAGTGATCGAATTAGGGTTTACACATTTTCCAGCTTCAAGTGGCAATCCAAAAAGAAAAGTACATTATCCCAAATAACACATTACAGCCCACAGAATAAGTTATAGTAGTCAAATACAATCCATAAGGAAAACATAAGTAAGCATCCAGCTTTCAGTTTCCAGGACCTGTTAAGGAAAACAATAAACGTGGGGTGAGCTAAAGCTCAGTGGTGCCCCAAAACATGCAATCACATAAATCAAACAATGGATAACAATTTAAACAAATTTAATCAATTAAGAAAGCGTATAACGGCACAAGGTAGGATACAGGGCACTCGGGAGCCATTCTCCTCGCTTGATCAGATACCCTCGTAGTTGACCCTCCGTCAACTTTCACTACTTATAGTCCATGTAGATCCACTTATTTTAATCCTAACCCGTCACTGTTCATACCTCTGCTTCGGGCCCGAACTTCGTCTACCGACGCAGTATACTCGAGATATACCCGTAATAAATTAGTCGAGAGATTCACCCAACGACGTTATGGTAGTTGGATTCACGAGTCGAGGGATTCACCCAACGACGCAACTACATTTAGATTCACGGATTCATATGTTTGGTAGTTGGATTCACGAGTCGAGGGATTCACCCAACGACGCAACTACATTTAGATTCACGGATTCATTAGAAAATGTTTCACACACGTCACCACTCGAACGGCTAGTGCGATAAAGTACACACTGCTCATTTCGATGGATCAAAAACCATTTATTTCATTTTGACAATTATCACATAGCGAGTTGATAAAGCGCTTAACTACATAAACATGAAACAAGCAGAGACACTCACTAAGAGTGGAGTTCAGATATCAAGTTGGGAATCGAATTCCGCGTCCTCGCAATATCCTAAAAACCAAATTTTGAAACTATAAGTTTCTACTCAGTTTTTAAGCTTATAGACAACGAGGTTTATCTAATATATTACTAGTTTACTTTCCCATAGTAAATTCAAGAATCTACTTAGGTTGAAGCTTGACAAAAATAGTAGAAATGTTTCTTATAGTTTTCTTTGAGATATTTTTCCTTATAAAAGGGTAACTAGTATTATTTTCTTGAAATAAGTCGACCAACCTCTTAACATCAAAGTTAGAAAGATACCTTGAAGATTTCTTTAAAGCTACGGTTTTTGCAAAACTTATCGCTATAACTATTTTACCTAAAATAAAGATTCTTGTTGAGCAAGTTTCTACATTTTTAATTAAAGTTATTAAAATTCTTATTTTGGAACTTTTCCTACCGATAACTATCCAAGAGCAAATTTTAAAGAAAGAAAAGGAATTAAAATAAGACTTAGGGTTTTCAAAAGCTAGAGAAATTATTTTCTATAGTCCACTAGCCAAGAACAATTCTTAGAGGAAAGAAAAGAAGTAAAACAAAACCCAGAGTTTAGAAACTAGTTAAATCATTTTCTAAAGGTAATAAGGCTAGTTTAAGCTTAAAGGAAGAAATATCGAGTTGGCAAGGTTTTGAAAATCCCTACATGAAATTTCTAACTTTAACATATAGTGCTAATTTTTATCGTACCATACTAGAGTGAAGATACATTTAAGTATCTTGCTTAAAACTTCTCAAGTTCATAGGACCAAAATGGATTCCTGACGATTCCGATTTACCAGTACATAATATTTCAGATTCGATAATATAATCAATTCACATTTCAAATAGAAATCTCACTAGGGCTTCGTCAATCATTAGCCCTAGTTTTCCACAGATTCAATTCTGATCAAGAATAAAATGAATGACCAAGGCTTCGTCAATCATTAGCACTTGGTATTGGCAAGCTCATATCACATCTTAACTAAAACCAAATGAAGGTAAGGCCTTCAAGAAATTCCAGCAATTAAAGTTCATCAGCCTTTAATATTTATACAACCATTCAAATGGCCAAGGGCTTCATCAATCATTAGCTCTTGACAACCAATACACACTTTCAAATACCAATTCATTCAAAACAAGAACAAAAACTACAACCAACTTGAGATCCAAATGATTCCAAGAATCTAAAATATCCATTAAACTTTCCACTTTTATTTGCTAGAATCACTATACATATAGATTATAATCTGTCCAAACCAAGCTAAAGTAAATAATACACGGATCCAGCAAATAAACTCACCAAAAGTCCCAACCAGTTCGGTCATGCTGGAAAAATATTTTCCTTCAAAAATTGCTTTAGTTCATGTTCCACAAATCAAACAGTTATGAAAATTATACTGTTGTAGAATAGATTTTTAATACTATCACATCCCAGAAGACACTTTTCAGAGATTCGAATCACAAATGGGCCAAATATTCTATCCAAGTCAAGAATTCAGTTTCCTGAGAAAATAGGACATTCAAACATGACAGCCTACTTTGAGGAATCACGGACAGCAGTACACATGGAGGAAAAATATGAAATTTCTACAAAACAAAGGCCCATGACTCTAGTTTTAAATGCCACTAACGGCACCTCAATCGGATTTTCCTACACCAAGATATAAGCATTTTACTGAGACTGGTCAGAGAAATCCGAAAATCTGGAAACTCATTTTTCACTTGTGAAAAACTCCTTTTCCTCTTTTAAAACCATAATACTCTTATTAAAATCATCATACATTTAAGTATGATATTCATACCAGCATATACCAAAGCAAGTAACGCTTAATTCCAGTACATGGTTCAGCCAAGAAATCATATATTTACTAATCTGTCATCAGCTAAGTATAACAATCATCAATTGGTAATTCACCCACAATTCGAGTGTTTCACATCTACATGTCTTATAAACTTTAAAACAGCATATTCCAGGCATTTCCATCTATCATGATTCAAGGAACAATTTAAAAATCAAGTTAAGGTTCCAACTCACCCTTTAGCTATCACACAAGAATTTCCAACATGTATAACCCAACATTTTTTTGGTTCCATCTTCAATTTATCAAATATTTCATTGTTAACCAACTTACACTACTTAAGACTTACAACTCCCCTGTATTTCTCAACCATTATATTCCAAGGAAAATATTCAAAAATCAACCTGTGAATTCCGGAAACAATTTAATATTTTCAGCTCAAACACTTGGTTAACTAAATTTCTCCAGCAGCCATTGATCTTATATTAAAATTTTCCCTTGGCTAAATTATTGCGTTAGGTGCTCCATTTTGGCATGCAAATATTTAGCTAGGTAAGAATCGCTTCCAGCTCGAAATTAAATCCAAACAATAGCTATAATCCTCAA